TCGGCACGTCCGGCACTCAATATAAAAGCCACGTGTGATATTTGAAACGCGGCACCTTCTTACAAGTGCTCGTATTGCCGCCGGGAAGCTTCGGCACGTCCGGCACTCAATATAAAAGCCACGTGTGATATTTGAAACGCGGCACCAATGCGTCGGGCTACATTGATAGAAGCTGCTTCTCCCGACTAATCCCCTCCCACGCTCGTCGAGATGCTCTCCTCGCCGTCGTTGGCGATGCAGGCATTTCTCTGACCCTGCTGCTGTTCATACATGTCATAGATATAGTCTTATTCATGTTTGGAAGTCTATAATGTATAATATTGCGCTATATGTCAACAGGGGCCGGGGGAAGGCATTCGGAAAGGCGGGGGCATGGAGATAGAGGGGGTGCCTGAGGGTAAGCATTTTTACATCACCCGAAAGCTTCTAGAAACCGGCATCTCTATATTGAAGCTAGCGCCAAGTCCGTGCTATTAATATAAAGGCCGTGGCCTCGGGCATTTCCATTGTCCCACGTGATGCTGTTGATCTTCTCACGAACAGGCTGTCGCCCTCAGTGCGCTGTAGCCTCGAGGCGTTGTGCTCGCTCTTCCCTCCACCGCCGACGATCCCTCCGCCATCGTCGACGATCCTTTTCCTGCCACCCTCTGGCGGCCGCCCAGGCTTGGCAAGATGCCTGCCAGTCGGAACACCGGCGTCTCACACGACGTAGACGTTGTCTACGGCAGTTCATCGCGCTTCTTCGCTCGCAACGAGCAGCTCAAGGTCACCCGACAGAAGTCCATCCACGAGCGCAGGGAGCTACAGGAGCGTCTCCGCTCCAGTAGCAAAGGTGAGTCTAGTATCATCATCCCATGCACGTACTTTTTGACGAGTTAAATGCTAGGTTTCAGCCGGGAATCTTTGCAGGTGCTCGCGGAAGTCACGCACGACGACGACGACGACGATCAACACCACGGTTTCACTACCTTTGAGGCTCATGAGGACACGCAGACGAGCGAGGGCCAGTGGGTGGACGAGGACGAGGACATCGCGACCGACGAGTTTATGGCTGCAGTGCAGGAACACGCTCGGAACAAGTGAGTTGTCCTCGTATGCATCCTCGATTTATCTAACACCATTTACAGACTCAACGCCAGCCAGGACCATCGGACCTGGCGCCATCGGCTTCGACGTGCACAAGAAAATCTTCTGCCCAGCATTCCGGGCATGACAGCGGGCTATCTAAGGTGGATGTACCCTCCCCCTATCCACACCTCTTCTTCCCCTCTCCCTTCAGACCCGACCTTGACCGATACCTCCATGGACTCCATGGACCCTCCCCAGCCCCGCACCAGCTCTCAGGGCGCTGATTGGTCCTTCAAAATCGCCGTGATCGACATTTACACGCTTGACACCCTGGCCACCATCCCTCGCTCCGAAGACTGCCCCAGCACTTCGGAAGCCCTCGCATCTGCCGGCTATATTGGCACCACCCCTGATAGCCCCACCCTCGCATTTTCAATCCGCACCTTGGAGCTGTATCGCCGCCTCCGCCTGCGGAAGGCATCGTTTAGCGTCGAGGCGTTTTCGAAGGTGATTTGTGACCTCTATGCGGTGAGTGTTATCTTTTCCATTTCAGATTTGCAATTGCTTAATGATTCTCACAGTGGTCGTATCGCCGAACCTATCGGACTGCTCTAGCAAACGCATTCGACGCATATTTGCTGGTCCGTCGTCGGGTCGATGAGGACGTGCAGAAGGCTCTCGGGCGCGATGGGCGTGACTGGCGGGCAAAGTTTGGCTGCCCCGCCTGTGGATATGAGGTGCGTACACCCAGTTTGATAGTATGAATCACTAATCTAACTTCGACTCAGGTCAATGATGAGCCTCCCCTCAAATACCGCCGCATGCTCACGTTCGACGGCAACAACTCCCTCTCTCGCATGAAGGCTTTCGGTGACCGGCAGGTCGGCGATCTGCGCCGATTCACCGGAGACTACTTCCTCACTACTGAGGAAGTCGACAAGTTCGCGAATGGCGTACAGAAGCTCGACAACTCCGACCTCGTATCTGATCCCGGCATTGGCCTTGATGACGACGACGACGACGCACAGGGGTCAACCAACAACGACGCTGAGTGCACCAAGAATTGGAAGGCAGCGGCAGCCGACGCCAAGAAGAATAGCTGGGGCATTTTCGACGAGACTGGTATATTTGCGAGTGCGTGCCGTCATGGTATCATGCTCTGGGTTGTCGACATGGTGCGCAGCGGGGAGTTGTACGTATTATCTTTGTAGGACTATCATCGGACCACATGTATTCATTTAACTTTGTATAATAGATTTAAGTACCCCCTGGCAACAGTTCAGAAGGCACTTGACGTGCTCGGCCCGAGGCTGATGATCGCGTATGACATCGGCTGTAAGCTGAAGACTACCATCAAGAACTCATCGCTCGGCCCCACCTTCTCCGCATCGGAATCCACCATGTGCGTTGACGCGTTCCACGGCTACACCCACAATTTCTCCTGCCAGGACTCGAACCATCCCAGCATCTTGGAAGGTGCTGGCCTCGAAGACTTCGGTTTCATGGAGCGGATTTTCAGTCAATCAAACAACCTCACCGTCCTCGTCCGCTACGCGTCTGCATTCAACAGACGTCTTTTCATCTCTCTGTATTTCACACAGTGGGACAAGGACCGTTATCTCGGCATCGGCTACACGCTCTACCGAGGCTATGTCCGGGCACTCAGGGTCATCAAAGCCGACGACGCGGCGTTAGTCCAAGCAAAAGTCTCACTCAACATCACTGACGCCGAGCTGGAAGTGTGGAAGGTCGAGCAAAGCCAGTACCTCAAGACTGTCGGAGAGGAGGATGAGTACGACGTCTTTGCTGTGACGTACGTGGAGCTCCTTCAGAAGCTCCGCATCGCAAGGTACGTCAGCCACGTCTCGTTTCCACCCGCAGCCTTTAATTTGATATTTCCGACAGGGCGAAAGCAGATAAACATAAGGGCTCATACACCGATGCTATCCCCGACGGCTACGAACCAGCCCCCGTCGCCTTCGTCAACTTGAAGGCCCACTGGAGTGACAAGGACACTTCGCTCTCCCAGACACGGAAACTCGAGACGGCCATGCGTCGTTCACGCGATCGCGTCGATGCACTGGACCGGGACATCACGGACATCGAAATCAAGATGGGGATCGCTCGGCGGTGGGAGCCATTCGACGAAGACTACATCCACGCCGTTGAGTACGTCAACAAACGCAAGTACCATTGTGCATTGAACAAGCTTCAACGTCTTGTCGTCCTCCGTCTCCTTGAGCTGCACAAGTTGAACCTTGGCCGAGTCGGTGAGTCTCAGCTGATATTTCATCCACTGCGCGAACTTATCATATTCCTACAGGCTATAAAATGCGGTCACACATGGGCAAGTCTCTACAAGCACGTTGCCGAGCCATACGCAATGCCGTCGCCGAATACAATGCCGCAGCCAAAGACATTGGGAAGCCGCAACTTGACTGGTCGAAGGTATCAAACTATTCGTTTGTTGAAGAGTTTACTCTATTGCAGGAAACACGGGACGACGTGCGCTCGAAGCGATGGACCACGCCTGTGATTCGCGAAGTCATGAAGCTCCATAGCCGCCTCAAGCGTGCGCACGAGGAGATCGCCCGTCTCGACGTTGAGGTGCGGCGAGTTCATACATTCATCCGCGACGAAGAGAACATGTTCGACTTCGTTGTGGACGAACTTAACCACACGAAAAGTCCATTGTCCGGTGCTGTTCAAGACTTCTGCTCACGACGTCGCCGCGCCAACGCTTGCATCATGCGGGATCTGCAGTCCATCTTCGAACTCGACGGTTTCTCAGGTTCATGTGAACCTGGTCTGCGGGATGGTTCTGATATCGGCAAGGCGCCGAGCGCATCACCTGAGCCTCGTGCCCGTATGTTCGCATCACAAGAACCTTCGCTAACGGAGACCGTGGACGACGCACTCGACGTAGACGACACGAGAATGGAGGAAATGGGTGGGATGGTCGATTGGATGAGTAGCTTGACTGTATCGCATTGATCTGTATTTTACTTTACATCGCCTATGGAATAGCACAGTTGGTGAATATTATTTACATGCTCCTTCAGTAACGGGGCAGAGAAGCGCTGCGAATGTGAGGCAATGTGAGGCATTTTGAGTGGTGTGTGCATTGATGGATTCACAGTGATGGGCATGTGTGTGGACACATGCGGCAGCCGCGTGACGATTATCGAATCTCCTCAAGATGTGTGCGCGGCCAACTCACGTCAACCAAGTCTTACCCCACTTCCTCAGCTCACTCGCACCACACATGCCAGCCCCCCACTGCTACGTCCTCGGCGGGTCTGGCTCTATCCAAGGCTACCAGACGAATGCCAGGTGTGTCACTGCTGACAGTCGTGTCTATTGGAACCACTAACACCGCTACAGAGGACCGTTCATTGCCGCCAGCAAAACATCCCCTCCCTTTCCAATTGCCGTCTTCTATCACGATGCCACGCTCACCGAGCTTCTTGACGTCGTTCAGGAGGCTGTGACATCCCTCGCAAATCCTCGCGCCAACGCTGCTACTGCCGTGGCTCTCCTCAGAGCTCTGGGTCGACGTGCTGATCGCCTCAACATGACAAGATTATATACTTGGGACCGGTTCTATCCAATTGTTTACGGGAAGCATGTTGGGGTATACTTCAGATGGTACGTCGCTGATAGTCATGCCCGCACATATACTAATTTCAGCAAGGGAGGACGCCGAGATTGAAGTCACCGGATTATTCCATCGTCGATTCCAGCGCGTACGCTCCTTCTCGGATGCCCTTGTCTTCATGATTACGAAGGCTCGTGTTACCTCTGGCGATGGCCTCTTGACTCCTCCAGCCATTCCTTCCCCCCTTGCATTCACTGCTGGACAAAGGTCAACGACCTCTAGTCCCCAGGTCGGCGTCAATCTCGCCATCCCACCCTCTGGCTCCTCGCGTTCTCGTTCGAATGCATCTCGTTCTACAACAGGTTCCTCTAGCCAGACCCCGTCTGCTGCCCCACCTCCGAACTCAGTCCGCTCTTCCAAGCGGTCGACCAATACATCACGCGCTCCTTCGTCCTCATTGGCAGCTTCTTCTTTGGTGTCGAGCCCCTTGACTACTCAACACTCTGAAGCTCTTCCTCCGGGTGAGTGCTCAGCTTTATGCATGACATAGGGCTCATTACGTTCAGATGATGTTGATGAAACGGCGTCCTCCATTGAAAGCATTCAATCCTGGGTCGAGGCCGTGTCACTCATCCCTCCTGCTCCTCTCCAGCCGACGAACGCCGCCAATCGCGAGCCTCGGACGTCAGACATCATATACTGCCATTCCCGCTCTCTGTCCGGCATTCAAGATACGTACTATGAAGGCGATGAGTTGCCCCACCACCCGGATCCCCCTCCTATGGAGTTGCTTGGCCCCGCGGCGTCTCATTATTTCTCAACCCATGGCTTCCTCCCTCAGTCCATCTGGACTATTTACTATGCATTTAAGGAGGCTTGCGATGCTGCGGAGTTCGTCGGCATTGTGGCGAGGAGAGGCACTGCTCAGCTTGAAGCTGGCTACATCTTCGACTTGATCTCTGGCCGCTGGCGGGAGGCCGATCCGGTTGACGAGGACATAGTTGTGAGCGACTCCTAAGGCGCGAGCCCAAGAAACCAACACACGCAAAAACCACAGAAGAAGATAGACGTCGAAGCCCTGTACAGGACGACGACGAGAGGGAAGGCGGGGTGGGATTGACTGCTCGCCGACGTGGCAAGACTAGGTGTAGAGCTGTTAGGAGGGATTCCCACAAGAACTCACTTAGAGTCTTGGGGCGTGAATTACTCAGACTATATACAAGTACAGGTTTGTTTGGTCAAGCCAAACAGACTACCTACTATGGTAATGACTGTGGGTGCACAGACCATGCTGTGTCGTGCACTACTACTTATGGTTAAGGAATGACGTAGGTATGATGTCAGTCATGACGCGTATTTGACGTCATCATGATGTCATATGGAATGTCCGGGAATGTTAGAGAATGATTATGTAAGCCGGGTAAGTAAAGTAACCGAGCCGGGTCATGTGACCGGTTATGGAAGTAGCCGGTCACGTGACCTATTGCACCAAGAAGCGAAGCTGCAACTTCAGCGACGATGCGTGAAATGTAAGTAATCGTGAGTGTCATGACTGGTCATGCTGTCGTGAATGTGATCGCGACAATAGTCTTCGTTTAACTCTGAGCCAGGGGCTCGAGCGGCTTTGTCATCACACTTACACTTGTATTTACCTTGTATTACGTCCGCGAACGTTGTCATGCTTACGTTTTGAATGCTAGTGTTTTTTTCTCCCTCGCTAAGTCCCCTTCACCGCTCACCAGCACCACGCGCACCATGGACGCCCCGCCGCGATATATGAAGACAATCCTGTCGAAGGGCACACGCAAGCCTACACGCCGACGATTTGCTGCCCCCAAGATACCCAAGACTCCAGCCGAGAAGGCAGTCACCAAGACGAAGCGGTCCGCGCGCAACAAAGCCTTCAAGGAAGCCTTGAAGGAAGCGCAAGAAATGGTTCTGCAGAAGGCCACCTCCATGCGCGAGAGATTCGGAGATCACACCGTCGACTGGTACTTTGAGTATATCCTTCAACAGACGCGTATGGAGCAGAGCAAACGCCAGCCGACCAGTTGGAACGCGTTCGTGCGATGCACGACGCGTAAGCTAAACGATGGTAACCATCTCTCTTGCTTCGTATCGCTCATATACTGACACTTCTTTTTTCTTAGCCCTTCCGCCCGATGCTCCACATCTTAGCGCAAGCGACCGGGGACCCGAGCTCAAAGCCCTATGGGACGCCATCCCCAAGGAAGAACGCGCCGAGTACGCGAAGGAGATGCTCGAGGAGCTTCGCGAGGTGCGGGAGAACCAGGACGAGGGTACTCACAACGTTCCCCTGCAGGCCTGGCACGACGCGCATGCCGTGCTGAAGAAGTGCGAGGGCGAGGTAAGTCAATCATATTCAGTGTTTTTTTTTCCTTTGCTAATGTCTTCTCTTGACCAGCTGGACCGAGTAGCCGCGCGCACGGATACTCGCATCATCCTGCTGGCTGTCCGCAGCGACACCACCCACGTCTTGTGGCCTTACATCTATATGTCAACGCCCACCCTCCGTGATTACTTCTACACCCTCTCTCGTCACACGCCGCGAGAATTTGCGACAAAGTTAGAGGCTTGCTGCATCTCCGGTCTTGTCGGTGTGTTTATTATTATTTTTTCTATTTGATTTTACGGCTTACCTATGTACTAGGGCTTATTAACAACAGCAAGGATGAGTTCGCCCTACTCAAGAAGCAGATCGTCGACTTAGTCCTCAACAAGCTCCGTTTTGCCACGAACCACAACTGGACCCGCACCCCCTACTCCACCTTCGACACCGCGGTCACTGAGAAGTACGGCGTTGTCTACAAGGGATATCCCATCAAATTCGTCAACCCCTCGACGTTCACGAATCTCCAAGACCTGCAGGTCACCCTCGGCGCCTGGGAGTCGGGCACTGCAAAGTTCGACAAACTCACGACTGAGGAATGGGCACAATGGAAGGCTGAGTTACAGGCGAAGTGTTTCGCGGGTGAGTTTTCATAATCTATACACTATCATTACTTTACTGACTTCAAGTCAGAGCTCTCTGCCTCGGTAGAGAGCCCTGCCGCTCATCCGGCCCCTTCCGAGTCCTCCGACGCCGCCAACATGACACCACCCGCCATCACGGCTTCCGCCCCTATTGCCGCCCCGGCCCTCGCGCCTCTTCCTCGCGCCCCCGCTACTGCCATGTCCCCTGCTCCCGCGGTATACCCTACCCCGGGCCCTGCTCCCGCGGCATACCCTGCCCCAGCCCCGGCCTCCAACGCTGGCCCTCCCATGCAGTTCATCATGGCGGGGCCGAATGGAAGAGCAGTCAAGAAGGGCCGCCCTGCTACTCAACGGAAGCGGAAGAAGGACAGCCAAGGGGCTGCCACAGCCCCCGCTGTCAACGGCTCGCAACTCCCGGTCCCCGGTACTCCAAGTGCCGGACACCTCGGCGTTCAGACGCTCAGCAACACGGCCACCGTGCTGCTCCCCGAGTCAAACGTGCAGCAGCAGCTCAGCCCCGCCTTCCACCACACCACGGCCCCTGGGACTCAACCCAACACGCTCACACTATCCCATCACGCTCCCTTCACGGCTCAGGAATACACGGCTCTCGACCTCGGCCTTATCACTCCTGCCACTCGTCAACAGAGTGGTGGTATGGACTTATCAATTCCCTTGTACTCTGGATATGACGATTATAATGTTGGTGCTTCAGTGGACCCATCTAATACCAATGCTCTATATATTCTTAATGGTTTTGATCCCTCAGTAGCTTATAATACGTAGATCTTGTTATAATACTAAGTGTTGACTATCTAATTGACTTCGTATAGTTTTGGACTAGTGTTCGAAATTGCTGACGCGGCAGGCACGTGAATAAGCAGGCACGGAATAAAAGCCGACGGTCCGAAACCCCGCACCACAACCTAATTTAATTGAATGGTTCTATTTACAGCATGCCGGTTTCTAGAAGCTTTCGGGTGATGTAAAAATGCTTACCATCAGGCACCCCCTCTATCTCCATGCCCCCGCCTTTCCGAATGCCTTCCCCCGGCCCCTGTTGACATATAGCGCAATATTATACATTATAGACTTCCAAACATGAATAAGACTATATCTATGACATGTATGAACAGCAGCAGGGTCAGAGAAATGCCTGCATCGCCAACGACGGCGAGGAGAGCATCTCGACGAGCGTGGGAGGGGATTAGTCGGGAGAAGCAGCTTCTATCAATGTAGCCCGACGCATTGGTGCCGCGTTTCAAATATCACACGTGGCTTTTATATTGAGTGCCGGACGTGCCGAAGCTTCCCGGCGGCAATACGAGCACTTGTAAGAAGGTGCCGCGTTTCAAATATCACACGTGGCTTTTATATTGAGTGCCGGACGTGCCGAAGCTTCCCGGCGGCAA